AGTGTGGCTGCGAATACGTACATGTTGTATTTGTGCAACCGAGAGCTAAAGGGTGCTCATTTGTGAACATTCACGCCACTCACCCTCAACCACTGTTCACTCTGTGCGTGTGCCTGTGCTGCGTGTGCAGATGACGGCACATATGCGCGCGATCTCATCACAGAATTTGTTGAGCAAAAGTTGGATCCGCACATGCGCAGCGGTGAACCAATTGACGAACGAAAACTCAACCTCCTCTTCGCAGAGGGGCAAGCGGTGGGTTGCGCGCGTGTGTGCATGTGTGAATTTGTGTGTGCGTGTGTGCATATGTGTGTGTGTGTGTGTGTTGCATCTGCCAATGGCTTGGACACATTGCATCCTCACCTCATGGTCATCGCCATTTCCCTGCCACCATCAACTCCCTTTACCGTCTTCTTGCTCCCGTGTACCATCAGCTGATTGACAGCGTGGGCGGCCCTCGTTTCGCCGCGTGTCTTGAATCGTACACTCGTGTGCGCGCCCGACACCCCAAGGACAAGTGAGGCGTGTGTGCTTGTGTGTTTGGGTGTGTGTCTGTGTGTGCATTGTGAGTCTGTGTGTTCATTGTGAGTCTGTATATTCATTGTGTGTGTGTGTGTGTACAGTGTCTTGCTCTGCAGTCAAAGTGTGTGTGCTTTCGCTTTTGTTGATATTCGTGCAATATTTCAAACAGCTCATGCGCTCACGCGTGTCAATACCCATGACCACGCTTGCCCTGCTTTTCTTCATCCATATGTGTGTGTGTGTGTGTGTTTCAGCATCAAAGCGGTTCAGACTGCACGTCGCACGTCAATGGCCCTGCACACGGCCGACGGCAGCGGCGATGAAGACACCTCTGCAAACCACGTCCCGCCAGAATACGGTATGGTGTGCGCACCCCACGCAGCAGGCGACATGGGGAGGAGGGGTCGGAGGTGGCGATGACTGAGATGGCTGGCATGGGGAATGGATGGTGCTGTTGGTGCTTGAGGTTTGTGTGTGTGTGTGTGTGTGTGTGTGTGTGTGTGTGTGTGTGTGTGTGTGTGCGTTTCTGTATTTGCGGCGGCCGTGACTCACTTTGAGAAAAAAACACACACACACACACACACACACACACACACACATACACACACTCATTTGCCCACTCTCCCCGAC